TTTTTAAAAAAATAATTAAAACGAGTTTAATTCTAATTGATTAAAAGTGACAAAAAGAGGAATCGCTTAACATTTTCAAAACAAGATTATTACAAGTCTGCATTTCTATTGGATTTTCTAATAAAATTTTTAACGGAAGGAAAAAACGCATTTTTCTTGTTCTGGTCTCTATGGGAAGATAGTTGAATCATTTTAATTACTCTGTTCTATCTTCTCTATCGTTTAAAGTAGCTAACAAATGAACTGAACTTAATAACATGAAGCAGTAATTAACTGAATTATTCATTGCATGTAAATTTTGTAGATGTGTGCAAAGAACCGCCTCTTCTGTGACATGAATAGATGCCAAGACACCTTTCTTTGACAAAAGATGTAGATATATAATCCCAATATGTAATTTTATTTCGAAATTAGAAATTTAGTTAATATTTCTAAATCTTTAAATAATTACTAGAGTTTTTGTGCCATAAATTAGATACAACTATCACTTGATCAAAGATTTATTACGATCTTTTAACACTTAATCTTTTACCCACAGAAAAAAAACCCTGTCAGTGGGTAATACGGTAATGTTTTGTATTTCTTTTACTATCCTTAGGGAAGTCGTTGACATATTACGTGATGAATAAATGCTTACTTAAAAAGCTGCGTATAAAAATATTTTTGTGACTTATTTAAAAAATTCTTTAGATATTGATATGAAATTTATAAGCCCTACAACGAAGAAAAGCGTAATAATAAGGAAATAAAGGCATTTAAACTTAAAGTGCAATTTATAGAAACATCATTTAGTTTACAATATCTATTCATTCGCCATTTACGCTGCTTAGCAAATGGTGGTAATACTATCATTGTTGACAATGAGGAAGCACCGCCAGACAATCATGCCTGCTGGATGCCATTATGACTCTCCTGAGAAATCGTTGCTATGGGAACAACGTTGTATGAGATGTGTACTGTATCTAGGATAGTAGATTATATAGGATTGATGTAAACAATAAAATATAAAAAAAAACTGTACCGTTCAGACTTTAAAATTTCAATATAAAATAAAACTTACTGTATGATATCGAATAAACATATCATTTTTTGCATCTTTAAAATTTGTTTATTTATAATTAAACTAAATTCAATTAGATGTTTTGTCATAACAAATATCTAATAAATATCTGTAAATAAAATAATAGCAAGCTTATATACAGACTTTAAATTTATATTAATATATTTTCACCTTCGTATAATTTGATTAGATCTGCCATGTGATAATAATTTATTCTGTGTTTTTAATAAGCTTTTAAAATATTAATGGAAGGCACGTCAATGTAAAGATATGACATGAAGCAGGTCGTTAAAAAATTAAGTTATAAAACAAATAAATCATGAAAATTAAATTATTTAATAATTGAAGATATGGTTTATTATTTAAAATTTAATTAAGATAAAAGTACTGATTTAAGAATTGATTCTTTTGATTTTAAAAATAAAACTTCGAATCCCTTTTTCTTACTCGTATCATCAGGATAAATTGGCAATTTATAGTGTCTTTTGTGTCTGCGACTACCACTATAATGCTCTTTTTTTTTCTTTTTCTTTTTTTTTTTTAATTTTCAACTAAATCACACAACTCACTGACCATGTACAAAACTGAACAAAACCTTCTTTCCGACTAAATTAAAGAGAATAGTAAATAATTAGTCTCTTTCCCTTTTATAACTTATTATTCTCTTTAAATAGGTGACATACGTTCTTTGTTGAAATGTCTATCATCGTATTCACCAATCAGGGTTGGTACTTCTACGTCACTTGCAATACAGCTAAGCACAATGTCATTTCTAACAAAAGCCGAGTTCTTTTCACTAGTCTTTTTCTAGGTAAATCACCTGTCATAATTTCATAAAGACCTTTTTCTTAATTTATAAAACTTCAAATTTATTTTATACGAATGTATTCTATAAGAAAATTTTCTATTTATTTCATAATTATTTGTTATGACAATTCTCTTGATAAAACTAGTTATTTTTAGTGAAACATGCCAAACTAACTATTTATAATTTATCTAAAAGTAACTTTTAGATAAATTATAAATAATAAAAATAACACTTTTAACAAACTATAATTTATATAATATGATTTGTATATCCGTCACGCTACTTAACCGTGAAAAATTAACTATTTAAAAAAATGCGAATTAATGTAATCATATATTTTTCTATTAATTTATTAAAGCGTTTAATATAATTGATACGCTATTATTAAAAAAGTGGAAAAGAAAATTAAATTATCAATTAAAAATGTATGCATTCTCTTGACAAACTATAAATTTTTATCTTGTAATTAAATGTAATTAAATAGATTAGTACAAGAATTTTTGTACCTGAATTTTAAAGGAAAAAAATTGTGATTAGGCATCAGGTTGCTAAGTGGCTTAATATGGGAAGCCTAAAAGACAATTAGTCCCAGCTATGGAACGTTAAGTAGCAGAGCTGACGTATTCAGCTCCACCTCTCCTCTGTTTCCAAGTCAGCTGAAACATACGATGACAAATCGGTTGAGTTCCCCTGGAAAGAGGCTTTCCATCGCGACCTTATTCCGTTCCCTACTTGCTTATAAATCATTGGGGTATCCCACACGGTTAAGGAAGGCGGGGGCGGAAGTCAGACGAACAAAACTAAGAATTATATAAACAAAGAATATATTCATTTTGTAAAACTCATAAATCATATTCTCTTCGGAGGCTGCAGCCTGAACTGAAGATAAAAAGATAGTAATTTAACTGATACTAATCTGGGAAGAATTATTTCTTAACTATCGAATGATAGCAATACTTTTATAAACTATTGGGCTGAGTAAACCAAGGAGGAGGAAGGAAAAAAAGCGATGCTTAGCAGGTAACTGTAGAAGCTTAACCACACAACAGTTCATTGCTACTTCCATTAGCTGTTTCAGAATCACTGTGCGGAAAAATCATTTGTTACAACATACTTTTTCTTGTTTTTTTATATTGAACAAACTTTCAATTCATCTATAAAAATTTATTTTTAAATTATGAAATAAAGTTTAAATATATATTATTTATTTATTTATTTATTTATTTATAAACATATTTAATTTAATAGTTATTCTAAACTATTTAAAAAATTGAATAATTGAAAGCAGTTTTTATACAGAATTCTTGTTTTTAAAGAATTCAACAAACGCAAAACAATTTTATTTCTTTTATAGAGAGAGAAACGTACTGAATCTAAAAATAGCGAATAAAAAAAATGAGCAAATGTTAGATATATATTATTATTATCACGGTGCTGTATAATATGCAAGCAGCTTCATACATTTTCACAAACTCTGACTTTCTATACCGATCACATCACTTTGGAGTAACAAACAACCCACTCGAAATAAATTGCTATGCATTAAGTATTGCATGTAGTCCAATGCCGTTTCGTTCCCGTGTCGTATTTGTTATTCATGCAGGTTGGTGTTACAATGCCTATACATTGGTGTTACAATGCCCTTCCGTTTCTATAGCAACCTTTTCCACGATGTCCTATATCTAATTCCGAAAGGAAAAAGACCTTCATTGCTTTATGATGATACAAGATTCCAATCTTGTAGACTTATTTTCAAGCTCACGTTTCTTTTCATTAGTAATTTAAATGTCAGAAAATTCAAATCTTTAAAAACTTTATTTTCAGCATAATTTAAGAGAGAGAGAGGAGCAAGTTATGGGGATCAGCTTGTATTTTACAACTCGCTCAAATTACTCGAGTTTATGAACTTAATTAAAGTCGAGAAAGAAGTAAAGAGAGGAAAAAAAAATTAAAATTCATATAATTCTTGTAAGTGTTCCAAATTAAAATATTCTTGGAAAATTAATATCAATATATTTTATAAATTTATTTATGAATAATATTAAAATAAACAATTCATAATCATAAAAATACAAGAAATTTAATATTTAACGATTAACAAAATAAATAATTCTTTGATTTAATTCTCGGAGGAGAAGTTAAATTAAGCAATTTATCTCTAACAGATTCAATTAACAAAAGAATTCTCAAAGAGACTGTTTTACACGTAGAACTGTAATTATTCATACATAATATACCATTTTAAATCTAATTCATTTAAAATTGACACGATGTTCCTTGTCGATTGAAAAATAAGGTGAAAAAAATCTTATTTAAATGTAGTTAAATTACATAATTTTATGCAATGTAAAAAGCACGAATTATTTTGTTTTTAATAATTTAAATTTTCTTTTAAAATAAGTTTATTTTTTAAAAAGAAAATCAGTATCTTTCTTGTTTCAGAAATGTAGCAAATGGAATGGTTTGGATTATTTATACAAAACATTAAAAAATAAATAAATAAATAATGTTAAATTTAAAATTGTTTGTCTGTTACTTTGATAGAACGAATTGAAATACAACTAATGCCCCCTATTAAGGTGGAAACTTTTGGATTTTATAATAGAAGGAAAGAAAAAATATTTTTTCTTTAAGCTTTAAGTAATTCCAAAAAAAATATAGAAATTCTTTGTCTGAAGAGGTTTGTGTGAGAGAAGCCACACATGGCAATGTTTCGATTGAAGAATTTCTTGGTATCGACGTCGACTTTTTTCTTACAGCAAACAGAAGAAAAGGTGTTACGTCATAGTTGACGTCACAGCTTGAGACGTACGATCGATTAGACACGTGACCGAAGAAATGGTGCATGTAGCATGAAGATATGTTGAAACGAAAGGCAAAGTTCAACACTCGTTTTCTCTGTACAAAACACGATGTATGGTAATGTGTACTGCTTTCGGTGTTTTGAGTATTCGATTTTTTCAAATCGTCTTTTTTCTAAAATGGAGTTTTGTGTTTTTTGTTATAAAAAGAGGAGAAAAAGATTTAAGTTGGTTTGCCTTCAAAAATGCAATTTCAAAGAACCTATTTATTCCTCTATCAATTTTTCAGTTGGGTGGATTTAACATGACAAAATTCAGATATAAGTTTATAGTCAAATAAATTAAAATGCTTACTAGTAAAAACAGGATTGGAACGAATTAAGATGTGAACTTGGAATTATAGAAAAATTGATAATTTCAAAAACCTATTATTTTGTTTGGAAGAAAAAATAATGCTAAGTAAGATTAAAGAATTAAAGTAAAATAACTGTAACTAAGTTATATTTATAAGTGACGATTCTGCGGAGAGTTCATTATGATTAAACATGAAAGCACTAATTGAACACACTGTCAAATTTTAAATATTTAACGTTCTTTAAATAAACGAAACAATGCCGCAATCAATATAATTAAAATATATATTAAATATGAAGCTTTAATTTAAAAGAAAATACATTTCATTTTAAACAGAATTAGAATCCATATCGACAATGTTAATCGAGCTTTGTAAAGATATATTCAGGGAGAAGCATCGGAATCTTCACCTCTTCTAGTCAATCGATTTTTGAATATTTGTTACATTATTATATTTGTATTTGTACACGAAAATGGAATCTTCCACAATTCCAAAATTTGCTTCTACCAATGCCAATGACCGACGACTCAGTCTATTTTTACAGACTATCGATATTTAAATCTTATTTTAAAAGTTCTAAAATTCTAAATTAAATACAAATAATTCAAAATATGTAAATATATTTTACATTATTTACAGGAAATTCGTACTTAATTTGTTCAGTATGAATCTGTTTCTTTGTATAAGTTACATACATAAAGGGGAGACTCGTAAGGAAAAAGGATGCTCGGCTCTATTTTCATATGAATTATGAATAATCAGTAGATGAATCCATATTAAAATATGGTTTAGAGTTCGTGTTTTAATAGGAATAAAGATTTTTATACACAAGCATACAGGAAGGAAAGAAAAAACATAGGCATTTTTCTGTTTTGACTTTTGATTCTTGCTCTGGATAATTGTAATATTCATAGTAAGCCTATAGGATTTATGATTTTTGATAAAACAATTAATATTAATAAGTTAACCAGTTAAGTTTAGTTTTAATTAAACAGATTTATACCATTTTTTTCTAGGAAATAACTAGGCTACATGTATATAATTCTGTTATAAAACTCAGAATATAAAATTGTAACTATATATAGTATACTTAATTTATTAAAATTAAATATAAGTTCAGATTTAATGATTCTTATAAGTAACCGAATTATAATTAATAAAGTATAATGTAATTAGTTTAAAATAAAACTGATTAATTGGTATTTAAAAAAAAAATTAGAAAAAATGGACATTTATTAAATCGTCGACAAGGAAAATATATAAGGAGAAACAATCGGAAAAATAAAATCGTTTAACATTTAAATCAGTAGATCTTATAAATATATGTATGAAGACGATTTTAGTTTTAATAGATGTTTCTAACCGAACTTATTTTGTTGTTTTTTTTCTTTTTTCATTCTTTAGAGTACTGCTACTGTGACAGTGTGTCAGGAGGTTTTGTAACAGTTTGTGAACCAAGAAGAAACAGAGAGTAGGGATTTGCCACGCGAATCTCGACAATCCTACTCTTTAGGGCTTCAAAAAGGAACTGTAGAATATTTGCCGGCCTGACGGGAGTGATTTAAAGGATAGAAACAGTGTTTACTTTCGTCTTTGTCCACGGCAAATGTCTACAAAACTAAGAAAAAATAATAAAAATGGAATTGTAGATGGAAATATATCATACGTTCCCAGGTGCGTTTATTCCAGAATATTTTCTCTTCTTAATGTTTATATTTTTCTTCGTACTTTTCATTTAATTTATAGTCATATTTAAATTTCAGCAACAGATGGCGCCAAGTGAGACAAAAATATTTAATTTACAAATGAAAATTTATATAAACTAATTAATAGTACCAATACATAAAAACAGTGGCCTACTAGGTTTACGTTTTTACACGCAAAACCTAAAAATAATTCCGAATGTTGCTGTGTTAGCGAACAGCTGTGCAGGGAAAAACAGGGCAAAATATTAAAGAGATCACCAAAAACAAAGTTATAAATTTTTAGAAAGAATCAATATGAAACCCAAATGGAAAGATAGAAGATGAAATTTTATAAAAATTCAAATTTCAGATTAATGATAATGTGATATGAATTTTAAACGTGATTGGCTTAAATTTTTCCATTGCATTTTTTCATAAAAACTTCATCTATTATGCAACAACAACAACAACAAGAAAAATCTTGTAGGAAAAACAGAGGAAGAAAAAAATTCAACAAATTGATTTCTCTGGAGTTGTAAAGTTGAAAATATATTTAGAATCATGAAACAAAATCTCTTCTACTAAAAATCTTTTTAAAAAAATTCAGAAAACACGTGAATGACAAGAGGAAAAAAAGCATACTGAATATATATTTGCATCCAAGAGGAAGATTAATAGCTGACAACTTTATTACTTCAAAAGGAATCATCTTTTCTTATAGAAATTTCACGCTGATTTTTATCTCACTTTTATAATAAAAATAAGTTCATTTTTAGAAATAAATGACTATTTCATAATTAAAAATATCTTAATAAGTTATATATAAATAAAAAGACCGAAAAAGTAAAAAATTACGACAGTAAGTCTAATGCATATAGACTATCATTGCAAACTTTAAACAATGAAAGGATTTACAAATGTTTAAAACATTATTGACTGGTATATTAATACACAAATGAATACGTGGAATGTTCTAGTTGCCTCAGGGTAGCGAAAAGTAGTAATAAAAACATTATAAGGGGAAAAACGACATCCGTTCTTGGAACAATAGGCTCAGAACAAAGGACATCTGTGATTTAAACAAACCTTAGAACGCTAACGAAGAACACTCCCCCCGTTCTATTCTTAGATTAAACTCTAACAGATAAAAACTTTTTTGTTATAGGAGTTTAAATTTAGTACGATGTAATGAAGCGAAAATTCGTTAGCTATATATCTTTTCAAAAATAGGTTCGCTACTGAAAGATAAGTCCACTGTACTAATGAAAGCGTAAATGCTTTTTTCTTATAACAAATTACACGAGAAAGTTTATAATTAATAAACACGATAAAGTGGCATCATACACAGATTATTTTATTTTATTTTTTCAGCATCTAAGTACATTTTTCAAACTAAATATATATTCATCTGTGTGTGTTTTTATGACTCTAGTAAATTGTAAAATAACACGAAATTTTACAGAAATGGAATGTTTACTTGTGTTTAAAAAATGCACATTTTTAAATTCTTCAACAGTACTAATCTAAATAGCGCTATAGACCGAAATGGAATCGATAAGCCTATGTAACTATATGTATATAGTTCCTTTTAAATGTGGAATTTTATTACCGGAAATACCAATCTCTTCGAAATTCTTGTGTAAATCGGCAGCTTTCCAATATTGGATGTGAATGACTTCAAATAGAGAACTGGCGCAGAGGCGATATATCAGAATGTACATTCGCTAACTGACAGTTCTTTCGCTTTAATTCTATCTTGAATTCTAAAATCTTGTCTATCGTGTTACCGGATCAATCGCCTACGAGTGCGTACCTAAAAATCATAGTTTTGGGCAATATTTTCCTTCAAAAATGCCATCTATCCTTTTGTATGCCGCTATTCTTCTCAGACGCTACACAACTCTTCCGGGAAGAGAATTGTGAATCGACTGCGAGTCGTGAATAGCTTCAGATGTTTCTGTGAATATTTTCCTTTTCCTTGGGTGTCTTTTTTTCTGGTTGTGGGATGCTTATTTGCTAGCGTCACATGGGACATAAAGGAGTTCCGAAGGCTTTTTAGGAAAAGACCTGAATGATATCTATCTATCCAGAATGATATCGACTTGTGAGATTCGATGCTTTTCGCTGTTTGAAAGATCTTTTTCTGGATATGATAAGATTTTCGGATTTCACCCACTTCAATTTTTCATTTTTTCTGTTTTTATTAAAGCTGAAAAAAGGATAGAGAGACAGATCCTCGAGTGATTGAAAAGCATTGCTAGACGGCTTTGAGGGAATATGTCTCCATTTATTAGCTACAACGTAAATTGCTTTTCAATACATCTCAAAAGGTTTCTAAACTTTGATACTGCACCTGTACATTTGTTAAATTATTCACTTTAATCATACGCTAAACAGAATCACGAATTCATAACATCAATCCCGACCTTTATCCGTAATTATTTCCCGAAAATTACAGCAGAATTAAATTTTCTAATAATCTAAAATTAAATTCCGAACATTTTGAGGATTTAAACATAGTTCCGCATATAGAAACATTTAATTCCATTTACTGCAATGTATATGATATACTGTATAATAATTTACAAACTTTAAATTCTTTCAAAACTTAAATCCTTTTATACAAAGTTGAAATCGGATATAGCTCATTTAATTTTATCTTACGTTATATTGCATTCAAATGGAAAAAATTTGTAAGATTAAAAATAAATAAATTGAATCAAGTAGTTAGTATTAAAAAAAAAAAGTGTTAGAACTCAATCCAGTAGCAACTGCAATGCATCTCTTCAGCGACAGGGTGACAGGTGCGACCACATCGGTCAGCATTACAAATTAATAATTATAGTTACTACTGTTACAGTGCGCTATTTGGTCCACCCTCTTTCTATCGTCGGAAGGTAACTGTGGGAGGAGTAAAACTTACCTGACAGCCGTATTCTTAACAAAGCTGAAGAGGGAAGTAAGATAACCCCCATCGTGCAAGTGACAAAGTCTGGCACACTCCCCACTCCAAGGGAGTCAACCAACCCTGCCTGCCACTGCTTTTGACAAATGGGTCTCATATCTAAACTTTATATTACAGCTCTTAAACCATAAACGAACCAATTAGGAGCACATTGATTCTATTCCGTTCTGCTACTGTGGGTTGGGTTAAAGATATAATTCTTCTATTATCAATATCGTTAAGTAACTTACATCTTTGTTTACCTGTCCACACCCTTCGTCTTTTTATTAATTATGAAATTTTTTAAAATAAAAGCTAAATGTAAAAACCACATCATATTAATTTATTAAATATAGAATAAAAACTAAATACAAGAAAATAAAGTGGCAGGTAATCATCATATTGACTAAAGACGTTATGGGCTTAATTCAATCAGGTTAGTGGTGATGCATTGAGGCAGTCTATTCAGCAAGCTATATAGTCACCGAGAGGTGGCAGCGGGGAGCCTTTGAGGTTTCTCTTTGCCTAATCCCAAGGGATCTGCTTCCTTTAGCGACTAGACAAATCTACTCCTAGACCACTTCATTGATTTTATTTGTCCAATTTGAAATATAGAATTACTTATGGTTCCAGTGGCATGCTCAAAATGGTAAAGTGCAAATTTATTCTTCTCTACTTCTTATCATATTTTATTATTATTATTACACTCAAATAGTGCTAATTAAAACAATTTAAATGAAAATAATTATATACTTATATATACATACATATGTATAATTATTTATTGATAGAAATTATTTGCAATGTTATTATTATTTAAAAATTCTTTTTAGCTTATTATATAAAAGAAAACGTTTATATAAGATTCTTTCTTTTTTCTTTTTACAGAGTTATTACGACACGTTATATTGAATAAATACTGTATTCAAAAGAAGTATATCATAAAATATGGATAAAACTGGTATTTATGCTAATTTAATTCACTAAAAAATATAGCCTATAAGAAATTATCGGAGATAATTTAATTGATAAATATTCCACTTATCCATTATTTTCTTTAATAAAATATGTTATTTTTCTTCTACAAAATATGGGTTAATGAAATCTTTTTTGATTAAAAACACGATGAATCAGTAGATAACGTGAGAGAGTTAAAAAAAAAAAATTAATTTAGAAAATAGCACGTAAAGTATACCATAAAGAAAGTTAAGACAGAACAAAAGAGAGTAAATTTGTTGTAAGAGAGCAAAATAAGAAAACTATAAATAGTAATAAGTAGAGAAAATATATGTATATGATTAACTTAAAAAAAAGAAATACTAGTTTTATTCGACGTTAAAATTACGCATACTTAAATAGGTTATAATAAAAATAGAATTTAAAATTAGACTAGATAGGTCAATAATATTTCAATCTTTCGTTTACTTTTTTATTCGTATAATTTATACGTTTACATATATTATTACAGATTACAATTTGCATTATTTTATATAATTCTATTAGAATAATTTTTTATAAGAGAAATGTCATGCAAAATAAAAGTAATGTAGAAAGGATTATCTGCTTTACAATAAATTTATGAAGGAAAAATTCAATTCATAATTCCAGTATGTAAATATATAAGCTTTTTAATTAAATAGCTAAATATAAAGAAAATTTATTAGTCTGATTTTTATGTAGTTTATACGTATAAATAATAAATTTTTACTCAATGTTTCGAGATCAGGCAATATAAAAATAATAACTAAATTACATTAACTGTTAAATTATCATTACTTCTACTATATATAAAATGTTAAAATAAACATATTTTAACTTTTAAATTCTTGATCTAAAATTATGTTATCTTGCATAGAAACTATTAATAAAATGACTGGAATCCAAGTTGTTAAGATTTTATTTTAAATTTGCCTATAATCCTATACAAAAACAAAATCGAAAGAAGATAAAATATAAAAAGTAATGATAAAATGGAGGCTATTTTGTAAATGTCCGACACAAATTCAAGCGTGTTTATTTCGAGATGGACTTGGCAGGTGAAGAGGAAAGTCGAGGCGATGAAATGACAGAGGTGACAAATGGCTGCAGTGTACAAGCGGTCGTGGAGTTTGTCAACGTCTGTTTGTGAGTAATACTCAGGATCAGGCGGTCCTGGCCATGCTAAGATCCGGGCAATTCTTTCTTAATAATCCTTAAAGATGGGTAATTGAGTTTCGCATGGGTAGCTGCTTCGTTTTATCTATTACAGGGATTATGTTGAGAGCACATTTTGGCTAACTTCAGCCAAATAAAATGTTTACCAAGATTTTTTTCCTCTTGAGTTGCCAAAGATAAAATCCTTATTGTATATTTTCAAAAGAAATGTCTTAAATGAAGTGTTTTAACTTGATATACTTTAATCTCCGAGATACAATGATTACAGTAATGACACTATTTAATTGGCTTAATCTGTTTTTTTCTTTTTCCTTTTTTTTTTCTTTTTTGTCTTCTTCTGTCAAGTTGACTTTTTGCATAAAACATATCAGAATTGGTTCAAAAGAAAAATAGGCAGAAAAAATTTTAATAAAGGTAACATGTTCAGAAAATGAGCTTATAATAACAAGATACTGCTCTCCAAATGAAAAACTTCGTCTAGTTTTCGACATTTTTAATCTTAAAAAGCGCATAAATTGCCTTATATAATAATTAAATTAGGCATAATTTTTTTAAAAAATATTTTCTTCTAACTTTTGCTTAATAAGAATTTTAAAATCAGATTTTAAAAATATTTTAAATCATTTTTTTTAAAAATTGCTTAAAATAAAAAATAAACAGAAATTGTTTTTTTGCATATTTTTAATAAATTGAAATTGTATTTTGTAAAATTGAAACAAAAATGAAATTTTGGAAAAATAAAATTATAGGAATCGAATTTAATATTATTTATATAACTTGAGACAGTGACTCGATTGAGATTAAAGAAAATATTTACTGAGAAAAGAAAGATAAAAAAAATTAAGTAGAAAAATAAAATTTTCTAGAACAAATTCATTCAGGAACACAACAAAAAAGTTTAGTCTGAGTCATTACATTTAGAGTAGAAACAGAAATTGATAAATGAATCTAAAACGCGACGTTTTATATATTGGAAAAAACATATATCCTCCAACATCATTTTGAAAAACGACTTTTTATTAATGGTAAAATTTTCAAGTAGAAAAACTTGTTAGTTTTTCCAATAAAATATTAAAACTCCATAAGCCAAAATATTAAATTAGAGTTTAACCGACTATAATAAGGAGAAACTCTATCTAGTTTCAGCATTAAGCAGCAAAATGTAGTAAGTGTGTTTGACATGTCAAGAGTTTGTTTACTCCAACGTAATTAAACGTGTGGTTAGAAGTAGTAGAGAAGTTACATTCAAGAATTTACTGTAATCCTCATTCTCCTGCACAGCTGCTGATAAGCGGAACTTGTTACTCAAATACCAGAATATGATGATCGTTTAGAAAATGTAGATAGTGGTTCATATAATCTACTATGTAATTTCACAGATATTGAACCTGCTCCGGTTAATCGATAACTATTCCTGAGTGGTTGTCATAACTCCAACTTTAAAAACTGTGATTAGATTTTTAACTTACTTTTCTAAGTTTTTTTTTCCCTCTAAAATTTGTATCTATAGCCTATTAAAAATTTGTTAATCTGCTAAAGCAGGATATTGTAATTTCAGTTAGAGGTTCTAAATTGGTTATATATGAAATATTAAATTAAATAAACCTAGGTTTGGTGTTTATATAATTATAAAGATTGTTTCGCCTGATTGAATGAGACAATTTAAGTGCAATGTTAAATTATTAGCTTTATTTTAAATCGAGTGGGAAAAAATTTAATTAATAGTAAATTACATGGATAATTTTACGTTTGTAGTGGAATTAAAATGGATAAAGACATAGGATAATATTAAATTATGTGAAAAGCATGACTGTAAATGAAAATAAATTTATACGTATTAATTATTTGATGAGATTGAAAATAAGGAAAAAGCAGTTTTTTTCTACTTTATAGACTTCAAATTAATGATGTAATGTGTTGTCTTCTAATATTAAAATTATAGGTTTTTATTAAATTCAATCTTACATCTAAACAACATTAAAAATATAGTTTTATTTTATGAACATAATTACCACTCCCGGAAAAGATAACAGCGTAAACTCTACTACTTTAATCCACTTACCTGCAAAGAAAAGAAAAAAAATCATCATTTAAAATACCATTATATTAAAAAAATAATCTAATCAAGTACATTATTTAATTATTAATAACATCAAAGTCCATAAAGTAGACGTTACACTTATGAATCTGGTTATCGAATTATTTTCTAAAAGCGTAGATTTCTAGAGAAGGTAAAAAAAGGGATTGAAAATTACATTACACTAAATCAAAATGATATTAATGAGGCCGGTTTGCTTAATAATATGAAGAGTATGCAACACTTAGATTAGCGTACAGAAGTTTCTCGACAATAGCTGACCATTTCTATCTTCAATCAATGGCAACTATACTGTTGTTGATGTTAGGGAGAGAAAAACAACGCTGTAGCCTCAATTACTCTCACTGAGAGAACTTCTTTATCCATTTTGGAAGGGCTAAAATGACCAATTTTCTCCGCTTCTCTTGACTATATAGACATAGCTATTTGGCAAAGATTTCTCTACTAATCAATCAACATTACTGGACATTGCAGCCGATACGGACAATTAGAACGGTGGTGTCCTGCCAGAAATATCGTTGGGAGGATTCAATACAAAATCTATTATCTGAATTGTGCACATTTTGTGCCACTCCTAAAAGAAGTGTAATTTTGTATTGGATGTCCTAAGAGCTTATCTTGAATGGAATAGAATTCTTGTCCGTTATATCTTTTTATCACTCGTGCTGTTTTTATATTTAGTTTTTTTCAACTGATTTAAATGTTAAATCTAAAAGATTTGCAGAGAGGTCTAAATACATATAGTCTATATGCATTTCTTACAAATTTGTTTCAATTTTTGCATATTTGAAATAGCGAAGAAACTGCAGATGTTCTGCAGCACGTAAAGGAAGAAGCATCTAAATTTATCTTCAAAGATCTCACGAGTTTCCACAAATTCGATTATTCTCACCTCTCTATCTTGGACAGATTGAATCACGAGAGAAGGTAAGGGAATGCTGCCATCTTCGTTAGAACGTACCATTCTATCTCACGATAGGTGAACAGAATTAAGAGGGTATAGACTATGTTCAGTTTAATAATGAACAAATCACTGATATTTTTATATAAGAACAACAACCATTTCTTTCTGATAATATAATTGTTATTTTGTAATCATATTGTATCGATAGAAAGGATAGTTGTAGTGCGAGAAGGGCAATCAACGTCATTCAGGCATCTCATCCTGCTGAAGGATGAGGGCGGGAATGACCTGCCGGAAGTGTTGTTCAGCTATCCAGGAGGAGGAGGGACCGAGGTGCACCCTGTCTTCCAACCTCCCGTCTACAAGTGACCGAAAACTGGATGTGTTTGTTTTGTGTGGCAGGCACATATCTTTAGCAGCTGCTGTAATTAATGGCCGAGCATGGACGGGCAACATCAATAATTACTTCATTACTTTCATTGGATCAAAATTAAGATTCGCAGCACACAACTTTAAAAAAATATCTTTAATTTTTTAAAGTATTGTGCAATAGAAATAATAAATAAATTAGTTCATACAATACAGTAACAATAAAAAACAAACTGTGGTAAATGAACACAAGATTATTTTTATAAATGTAAATTAAAATTAATAAATTTTAAAGTAAACGATTTAACAAGTTACGTTTATTCATCGCAGCATTTATTAATTAATCTCGTAAACAAAGAATGCTGAGTATGGCAATTTCCGATTCCTAAATTACTTTATAACACACATAAGATAAATTAATTATATTTCTTTCTTCACATTAAGTTCTCCGAGATGTAGGTGATTCGTTAGGTAATGATACTTTGTATTTTTTTCCGTTTCAGGATGTATTTTTCTGCTATTGATTGTTTTCTTTTTCTGCATAGTCTAAATGCGTCGAAGTAAGAAGAAAAAATTTTTCGTTTCCTTGAAGGAATTATACGCAGCTGTTAAAATTTGGTACCGGGCGATTCAATCTAATGAACATATCGATCAGCTTATCCGTCTTGGCAAAGAAATTCAATGAATATGAAATGAATGATGTACAACTGAAAAACACCAATCACTACATGTATTCGTGAAGAAGTAATTGGTCTTTCGAAACACTGGAGCAATTAAAACTCTTCTTGCTTATATTTTGAATTAAAGTAACAACAAAACTACCGAAAAAACCAAAAGTCTGAATTTGGAACGAACACGGATTTAAAATAAAGCGCACAATAAAAATTGTAAGTGAATGGATTTTATCATACTAGAAACAATGATTGATATGGAGAGTTTACATAAAATAGAAATTAAAATTACATGCTACCGAAAATGAATTACTTAAATCAAATATAACTATAGTATAGACAGTTTAAATTCTACACGATTGATTAAAACACGTAGACTGTATACAAGTTTCCCTGCAACAATTTTTACTACCTTTTTTAAATTTTTTAAAAATAAAATACACGTTTCTTTTTTACTTTCTTGAAAAATATAAGATACAGACTATCTTTAATGCATGATTTGCATGATTGATTGGCATAACAGTATGAGAAGTCTATTAGAACATATGTGTAATATCTATAAAAGCTAAGTAAGTAAAAATCATTTCCAGAGAAAAAAATAACTCAGCTTTTTATCTAAAATTCGTTTTAATGAATTTTAAAATTTCTGTTTATATTATTTTTATTATCCCATTAAAAAAAATTTCAATAATTATATAGATTTAGACAGATTTAATATGTTTGATAGATAAGTAAATTTTTATATGCGGCCAAAAGTTAAACTTACTATTATTCGAGTGAAAACCAAAATCGAATTTGCCATATTGATTAGCGTATAAAACATTGTGCAGGTTAGAAAATAGCGGTTTTAAGAGTGATGCGGGTGAGATGCAGTATTCTGGATGTTTATCTGAGAAATAGAATCCCTTGATAGTTGTAAATTTGCAATATCTAAATTGAAACAGGCTTTCGCTATTGCACCTATAAATACATTCGAAAGAAGTCCAAGAGCAGATTTTCATTGGTGGGATTTTAATTTGCTTATTTCAGTCAGTAATTACACAGGATACGATTCAAATGCTAATGTAAACTATTAAAATTTGTTAGTACGCTGTATTTTATTTAACTTAAGAACTAAAGTAAACAATTTTCGGTATGAATAAAAAAATTTGAATAGCCAGAAATGCATAAAACTTAATTTACATTTTTGACTAACAATTAATGCATGTAACAGTTTACTTCACGGCTAGTTTGAAAGATAATTAGATATAAATTATATAATATATTAAATGCATTTTCAGCTTATGTTATATTTATTTAAATTCTATTATATGGCCATTTATTTTTTAAATATACGGTATATATATTTTTTAGGCTTAAGTTCATGATAGGAGTAGATTGTTTTCGTCACGTATCGATCACGTTATGGTTTTGATTAGAAGAGAAAAAAAGCAGAACAAAATTCTTACGGCCAATTTATGTTGGGGAGAAACATGTCAGACCGGAACTTTATTTTCAAGCAAACACGAAGCAAGGAAGTGAATGTGCTCATGACACAAGCCGTCTCACTATAATTATAGCAACAAGGCGAAAAGTCTGTGCGAGTAGAAACCTTTCGAAAGTTGATGCGGGGGAAAGCAACAGGGAAAGACAGAGAATACTCACGGAATGTCACCTGTCCAGTTTGGAGAAAATTACAGTTAATAGCCGTCTATGGTAGCAGGAGGACCTAGCTCTGTTTGCAAAGTGCAGACATCGTGATCCTTTCTGAAGAAAAACTCGTTTCTACAATGTCGATTTTCTGCATTTCTTCGCTTAGTAATATATAATGATTTTTTCATCTCGCAAATTAAAAAATCACGTATAATTTCTTGCACTTAAAGGTGTAAAATAGTTTTAAAATTGCATTCGATAAAAATAGCTTATGACTCGTCACGTAATCGAATGGGTAATTCTTTACTCAAAGGAAGTGCACTTCTGCACCCGTTGTGCCTAATCAAAGCTGCCATTACACATGCTGTAGAACTACATAAATGAGCTCGGGAAGTCGCATCGTCATGCTACCAATATGCCGTTCCCGAGACCCTAATCTCACTTTGGCTCATCCATCACGTCTTATCTAGTCAGAGGATGGTCCCCGTCCCCCATTCCCTTCACTAGCCCTACCTATCTGATACCTCGGTCTCCTGTCGGAAACTTCCGCCTGTCCAGGTGAAACTTGTCCCACTCGTTTTAGCTAACGACTTTCCCCTCACAAATGGCACCCCCAATCGAATCGGCAGTTCTTGGCGTACTTACCTATGGCGCATGACGTCACGTCGTTAGTGCGGCGACAAACGGAAAAATGTTTTTCACCCCTCCCTTCTGACATCTACATGCTATTTCTATTCCCCTCTTTTTCTTTTCATAGGAATTCGGTATTTTTGTGATTTGACAAGTTCTACCTAACGATTTCCGATTGAAGTCTACATTTCTATCTCTCGTGCAAGATGAAAGAATTTTATATGTTTCACTCTTTCATATATTCTTTATTTTAAATAATATTTTAAAGTACTTTTTAAAATGTTTCCTTTTTTTATAATTATTATAATTTTTTTAATTTTATAGGGAAAAAAACAAGAACCAAAGTGTCTGATTCTGCATGAATTTAAGATAAATAACTCGTCTACGATTAAGTAAAATATACCTAATTGTAGTAAGTACATCCGTTATATATTTCTTCAAAAGTTTAATTATAACACTGATAAATCTAAAAATCAATAAAAACAAAAATACAGTGGAAAAAAAACAATCTCAAAACTATATTTCTTTAGGGAAGTCGGTTAATAAATGAAACCGAATTTTATATTGAAAAAGATAGAACAAAAATATAAAATTTACAGTATTTATTCGTTTTAATAGAAAAACTCAAAGTAAACTTCACATAGCATTCATCCCTCAAGGAAGCAAATAAAATATTAAAAACAGTTCATGGACTTTTTTAAATGATCTTTGCTTAGGGTCACATGGAAGTATCTTTAATATTTTAACAAAAATTTATT